TTACCAATCATGGCCTCCCAATAATCCCCCTCTATGAATTGGCTTCATAACTCTGCTCTCCTCCCCACTGATAGCTGGTGTGTGGTGAGCGTTCTGGCGCACTATGGCTGCCGTTGCATCATCCAGGTGGATGCTGCACATTGGTGGTGGTGGAGGGGAGTCCCCATTACCTGTAAAGTGCTTTGAGTGGAGTGTCCAGAAAAGTGCTATATAAGTGTAAGCAATAATTAAAATTAATTTTTAAGGATTTTAGTGCAGTACAATTCAATAGTCAACAGAATTAGTTTAAAATTCGATCAGATACATAGGCTGCAGCATTTCTTATAAAACTTTTTCATACGTTGGTTACATTCAGTTCTAAACCTATGGCACATGTGCAAGGGAATCATGTCAGCACCGTAGTCTGTAAGGAGCTCGGTGGCTATCTGTTGTGAAGAGAATGGTAGCAAATAAACAAATTGATTATTCGAAGAAATGAAACTGTTATTAACAGGTGGGCAGAAATAAGACAACGCAAAGCAAACTCCTAACCCCCTGGAATCTAAAACATACGGTATCTGGTTGGGAAAGAGAGGCAACACAGCACATTAATCTGATTCAGGTTCAGCAGCATATGGTTTCTCTTGAGATTTTTAAAGTGATAAGCAACCTCTTGAAACTCGGGTCCGTTATCGCCTCCTTTCCTCGCTCGGCTCTTAACACCTCACCCAGCTGCCAATGACCGTCCCCTTGAAAAATGATCTCCGTGTGTCTGCAGTGACAGTTATCACCTTGATCATTCCGCAGACGGAATTCACCGCCCATCGCGTGGTCTTGTGTGGAATTTTCACGCTGCTCATGCGGGCGAAACCCTCAGGATTCCGGAACACAGCCGCCGTGCTTTTGCTTTATTCTGAGTATTTTCTTCTCTCCTCCAGCTGGTATTCTGTCATATGTGCACATTAGACTGAAATCAATCACCTGTCACACTACACAACTGCTGTGTTCGATATCATTAGTAGTCGCAGAAGCTGCGGCAACAAAAGTTGCTTTAGCTCAGCCTGACTGGATACTTGTGCCAACCATACACGGAAAGTTTCACAAGTTCTCTTGAACACGTCTGCCTATAACAAATACCGACACAAAAATACATCGTGGTAATTAGTGAATGATTACAGGGGAATTAGACACTTTTAAATTTTGTAAACTAGCATCCAAAACATGAGACAAATGAGCTGTGACCAGGGTGACAATAACCCACGAGACAAGTGGGGCAGCTTTGTTATCCTCTTATTAACTACGTGTGAAGACGTAGGGCGTTACGTAGGGCGTTTGGAAGGCAATTATCAACTACAGAGTCTTTGAAGGCATGGAAAACATCCAACAACAGTCTTAAACTCCTGGATCCTTGGGTTTTATAGTCAGTCTTTAAGAGGAGAGAGCTCTCAGGGTTCTTACGCATGGCAAACGCTTCACTTTGCATTTTTAAATGGAAATTGATTAACTCTTTTTTTGCCTCTTTCACTTGAGCATAATTTCTTGCTCAAAAACTTACTTTACAAATGCCTTTGAACCTATTTAACTCCCTGGATAGGATACATAATATATTTTAAAAAAAAACAGTAATGACAATTTTCTCTTTTTTTAAATGTGGGCATTTTTCTGAAATTAAAATGATACCAGTGCTGAAGACTGCTGAGAATTGCTGCAAAGTAAAATCAATTTTACTTCTTTTGGTAGAACTTTGTTTCCCAGTGTCTGTTCTTGAAGAGTGTGGTGCGACAGCTTTATCATGTTAACAATGGTGATAGTGTGTAATGAGGTTGCCAAGGAAACACAGTGTGGGCACAATCATTCTATTGCAATAAGCCAGTTTCAGGTGAGGTTTATGCCAAAGATACATAGTTTCTTGAAGAAAGAGAGGCCACATGCCTGACTGTACTACCAAAGCCCTTAGTTTTGCTTATCCAACTTTCCCTTTTAAATTAAGAAGTCTGTCAGGCTATACCTGAGCAATAATAAATAACATTAATCAATATGTCAGGGTCTTTAAAATAAGCCATTCAAGACATGTGTAGCACACAGAAAGCTCACATATAGAACTCAAGAGCTGATAATAAAATAATTGCATAAAGCAGAGGAGAGTGATATAATGAATAAGATTAAAGATGAAACTGTAACCATTTGAAAAAAAAAGCTATCTATTAAAAGGTGCGTTTTAAGGTGAGAATGAAAAGCACCCATGTAGTCAGGATAGCGTAATTTGTTGGGTGAAGGGCTTTCCACAACCTAGGAACATCAAAAGCTGTGTGATATCTACTGTAAGTGCATTGCAAATCACCCTAATGATTCATGCATATGAGGCTGTGGTGGAGTCTAAGAAATTAACCTTAAAGACGAAATGTGTGATGTAGGTGAGGCACGTTGGCAAAGTGGTTAATACTGCTGCCTCACAGTGCCCTGACCTGGGAAGCTGTCTGCGTGGAGTTTGTATGTTCCCCCTGTGTTTGCATGGGTTTCCTCCCGGAGTCCAAGGACATAATTGGCTTCTGTGAAAACCGACCCTGGTGTGTCTGCCTGTCTGTGTGTGATGGACTGGCGTGATGGACTGGTCCACCCCACCTTGTACCTGTTGCTTGCTGGGATAGGTTCCAGCTCCCCACGACCCTGGATCGGAAGAAGTGGTTGGAAAATGGATGGATGGATGGGTGGATATGTGGGGTGGGCATGTCCTCCTGCATTGCTGCATTGTCTTCAAACTCCACAGTTGCTTCAGCTCAGCGCAGTCAATCTGTCACCACCTGCATTACTGTGATTTAATCTGGAGTCCCAGAGGCGGCAAGGAACAGCTGAATCTGCGGTTGTTGCAAAGATCTTTTCCAATCAATGTTTCATTCGGACACGGACGTAAATCGTCCATGGCTCATGCTTGTATCCTTGGAACAAACACTCTTTGACGCCGTGAAGAAGAACAGAACTACAACGTTGGGACGTTCAGGGTCTTGAGTGAAATTAATCAACTCTCAATCCGATTGATAATAACTGCTTGCACTGCTGTGGCACTTTTCATCCTGAAGGATCTCAAGTGTTTCATACACAGAAGAGTGTAAACCCATCTGTGTGACAAATGGATGCCTTTCTGTGCCTGCAGCCCCACTGCACAGTAGATCAGGTGAGGAAGAGAAGCGAGGAATTATTTCACCCACTGAATGAATGGTGAACTCAATGGTGCCCACATTGTACAAACCCAGAGTGTAATTAAGCCAGGATGCTGGGTTAGCATACTTATTCTAAACACTGCAACGGGATCTCTAATGACAAGGTAGTCAGGACCTGGTAGAAGGGCAGGGCCCTTTACAGCACAGTGTCACCAAACAGTGACATTGGTTTAGAAATTCTGCCCCGAGGGAAAGAGTGCCACCTACTGGTCCATCAACACCATTTACAGTAGCAACCTGGTTTGCCATATAGGTTCTCCATATTAGACTCAGCCTTTCAGCTGGAACAGACACATTTACTTGTTTTACATCTGTGCAGCAAATAGCTGGCGGTATTAGTCTCTTCCTCACCTGATCTGCTGTGAAACAATCCGAATCAGCGGTGTGATTCACAAATGTATTAAAGATTTATATTATTTCATAATACAAATATCTCAAGAGGAGAAAGGCCCGAGGTGGCCTTTTAGCGTGAATACTTGAAAGCATACATCTCTTGACTGTTGGTGTCTCAGTCACAGATAACTTCTAAATTCTTGCTAGCAATATGAGACCAGGAGTGTAGGCTTAGGTTAA